CAGCGTAGAATTCCCACACCCGCTCTTGTAGTCTGACGGTGAGTTTAGCTCGAGCAGCGGGCAGTCCCTCCTGCAACTGGGCTTTCTGAAGCTGAGAATAGCAGCCAGCCCACTGCTATTTCTGAAGGAGCCCAGTGTGGTTACTCAGTGAGCTGTAATTAAGCTCATGTATAATTTGATAAGTGGGAGTAGCCTCACATTTTATAGTGTAATTAAGTCTCACCAAGAGAGCAGATGCAGAGTTTCTGGGACCTCGCGTCTCCTGAGGTTGGTCCCTATTCCCACTTTCTCGCTGACACTCTTCTATGGATGCCTAGGCAGGGGTGGTCCTCAGCCACAGTCCTGGGAATGCTTCATGCCCTTGCCCTCTCCACCTTCAGGCCTTTCATCGGCATCCAGGCCCCTGGGAGATCCCACAGATGCTGTAGGCACACAGGCAATGGGACAGGAAAGCCCATGCTTCCCTCTGTGTGCTGCTCTCTGCAAAACTGTGGACCAGGAGGAAGCTGGCTTTCTGATCCCCAGCCAGCACCCCTTCCCTATGGTACATGACCAGCCTCTGACTATGCTGAGTGTACCTACTCTAAGACCCTGATGGGGAGATTGGGGCAGCCTGGGGGTAAAGAAATGGGCTATTGGGATAGAAGCCCAAAAGCCTGGTCTTCTTCATCTTGGCTCTCCCATTTTCTGGATCTATGACCTATAAAATGGGAACGACAGTCTGGCCTAACTCATAAGCTGCTTTAAGGATCAGATGAGAGGTCTGTTGTGAACATACTTGGTGAGCTGTGAAGGGTGTGTGTGTAGAGTGTCAGCATTTCACCAGAGGTATTAAGCCCGTCTCAAGGTTCTTGGCTGCTTGAGGGGAACCCTGGTGGCCATTCAGGTTGGTATGCATCATCGAGAAAGAGGGAGGGGTTGACCACAGCTGGAATCTCTGTTCAGACAGTGAGGAGTATGGAAATCTCGTCAAATGGAGGACTTGAGCTCTTGAACCTGACTTGACTATTTCCAAATATCCAGAAGGCTATTTGAGAAGAATTAAACTGTTCTGTGCAGATCTGGGTCATAACCAAGTGTCAAAAGAGTGAAGTTAGACGTGGTAGGTTTCAGCTTAGTCTTTGGACACATTTTCCCAAACCAAGGTAGTGCTCTCTTAGGAAGGGTTCAAGTCCTGACTAGCAGGCCCCTCATCCAGGAGGCTGGGAGTCAGATTCTGGATGTCGGGAGTGATGACGGCTGAGACCCCTTTCCTTCTCTGGGGTGTAGGGGTCTTGGCAGACCTTCTTAGCCCTCATTCTGGCCCTAGTCCCAGGTCCAACAGCTGCTCACACTTTGCTTCTAAAGCGACCACTCGTGAGTCACCCTTCCTCGGTGCCTCCACACACCGGAAAGGCCTTACATGGTCTGGGTTGTCTGTTTTGCGTCCACCAGAACACCACAGTTTTCTTGTTCCATCTCTTTGAGCAGAAATAATCACTGCACTTCCCAAGTTCTGTGCTCATATAACCCCCAAGCCCTCCGAGGGCAGCTCTAGATCCATCTCTGGGCAAGTTTAGACTTCAATATTCCTAGAGCAAGTCCTGAGAAGTGTCCCCCGAAGGGGCAACATTAGCCCAGCCAAAGTAGGTTTCCTGCTGGAGAGAGGCTGGGGGCTCCACAGCATATTCTGTCTTGGAAGGCAGTGCTCAGAGCCCCAAGGAGGAAGGGACGGAGGCGCTGGCTCATGTAGCAGCGCTCTGTGGTTGTTACTGTGCATGAGCTTAAAGTGTCTTCTGTTACATAACGGAGGTGTTTTTCCCTCCTTATTTTAGATCCTGGTGCCATCTGCCCTGCTTTTCATGCATGACTAACTCTGGGCTGGAGGTTAGATCTGGCTTGACACACAGCTCCATCCCTCAATTGGTAACAGACTTGGGGAAGCCTGTTTCCCTATCTGCAAAATGAGATAATAACTCCACCCTGCCTACCTGCCAGGATTGTTGCCACAAGAATCAAGGGACAGGCTGTGGCAATCTTGCTGGGTAACAAGCCCAGCACTGCACAAATTCGCCCAGTTGCTACTTGACTGCTTGTGCCTGGGGCCACCCATGCTAGGGAAGCCTCTGCCCATTCACTCTGGCACCTGCACCAAAAGAGGTTCACACAGATTTGCAGAGCCCAGCCCTGTTTGAAATGCACAAAGTGAACAGACCTCACAAGTGGGGAGTCTTTGCCAGACTCTCTTCCATGGGTGGCAGAGGTGCTGCCCCAGCAGCTTGTGATGGGCAGGGTGGAATGTTAAGCACAGCATGTGCTTGGTGACAATGTGCTGTCGGAAGCATCTTGCAGAAAAGTCTTCACCTGCCTCCGGCCCTCATGGGAGGGGTGTGTGGAGCTGGAGGCACCAGACCATGGGTCCCCACAACAGAGGCTTCCTTCCTACCCTCATCCCAACAAGTAGGGCAGCTCTCTGCCTACAGATGAGCAGTGATGGTCTAGGTGCCCGGTGACCCAACCAGCTTACCTTCCAGGGCTGTTGTGAGCCACAGCATAATGTGACAGTGAATATTACTACTCAAGAGACTTGTTTCTGTCCCAGATTCACTATGACACTGGGTGAGTCATATTCTCTTTTTGGGTCTCAGTTATTTCATCTATAAAATGGGAACAACCTGTGTTGTGTCCCTTTCACCCACCTCTTGTAAAGATATAACAGAGATCCCATACCCATGTAGGCTCTAAGCTGCTAGAAAGTGAATGGTAAATGTGAGGTTTTAAAGTAGCGCCGAGATTATTTGGAGGGAAGGTACCTTTACAATAACTGAGATAAAGATTAAACAGGACAGTCCTGTCCTCCTGCTGAATACTCCTACAGAGGCACACATGGCTTCTGCAGCTTTCGGCTTACTGCGATCAGGACTCAGAGCCTGTGGCCATATCTCCTCCCACTAGCTCCCAGGTAGGGATGCACCGTGTAACTCCAGGAGCTACTTCCATGTTCCCTTATTAAAATAAACCATGGCTCGGCGCCTATAGCTCAACGGGC